TAGTAGTAGTAGTAGTGGTAGTAGTAGTAGTGGTAGTAGTCGTAGTAGTAGTGGTAGTAGTAGGAGTGGTAGTAGTAGTAGTAGTAGTAGTAGTAATAGTAGTAGTAGTAGTAGTAGTAGTGGTAGTAGTAGTAGTGGTAGTAGTAGTAGTAGTGGTAGTAGTAGTAGTAGTGGTAGTAGTTGTAGTGGTAGTAGTAGTAGTAGTAGTAGTAGTAGTAGTGGTAGTAGTAGTAGTAGTAGTAGTAGTAGTAGTAGCGAGAAGTTAGGTGGCGAGATGGTGAGGGAGGGCTGGTGGACTTAGAGGAGGAAGAAGAACAACTCTCTCTCTCTCTCCCTCTTGTACCAAGTACTAACCTGTGAAGGTGGCGCCTTGTTGCAGGTACATCGAAGACGAAGCTAGAGCTATGGCGCCACAGGTAAGTCTTCCTGGCCTCCGCCCTTCTTTTTCTCTCCCAACGCTACTCTACCTCCTAGCAGCGCCCAGCGTTGAAGACTACTCTAGAGCTAGCTACTACTACTGCAACACTCCTCCAGAGTGTTGCTGCCAACTTCCGAAGACTGCCTCCTGAACGCACGTGAAGTGCATGTGAACTGCCTGGGAAGTCCCTATGAACTACCCGCAGCCTACAGGGCGGGCCAGTTTATATAGTGCTGGCCTGTCCGGGATGCTGCTTTTGCTAATGCCGAAATGTGCCAGACCTTGGCGTTGAAGTTCAAACAAAGGTTATCTTGAAACAGGCCCAAAAATGGCATGTGCTAAACCTTGGTCTGACGCCTGAGTTTCAAGGCAGTCGACTTTATGAGGGCCTGAAAATGGCCCTCGTTTTCAGGCTTTTAGGCTAAAATGACACAGGGCCTGAAGGGCCCTTATTTTCCGTCTGGTTGGGCCCTGCAGGTCCGTGTGGATGCGCAGTATGCCACCCCCCCCCCTCCTTGAAAGACCGAGCTTACCTGCGAGGGCGAAGCTGTCTGTCGGAGGGAGGGACCAAAGTTCGGGTGGGAGGGGCCGGTCATGAAGCTTCCTTAGCTAATCGTTGTCGTTCATAGTGAGCGTAGATCAGCGGTGTGGATGCTTGCAAATCTGCTCTTGAAATCCATCGAGTGTCGTCAGGATCGCATGCTTTGAAGGTAACTTTGTATTGTCGAGGCTTGTTGTCGTACTTGCAATCCGTGATGACGCAGTCGATTTCCTGATGACCATCCAATCACAAAGGATGGGCCATCGGCTCATCGCCTGCGGCTGAAAGGACGGTCTATGGTCCAAGCCACTTGGGGAGTAGTTTGCGCAAAACATTTTGTTCGAGCGCAAACTCTTCCACGAAGACCCAAACCAGATCACTAGCGCAGATGGGACATGGCACGCGACGCCTATTGGCTTGCTGCTACACGCGGACTTGAGCGTTTTGCATATTCGCGCGGGCTTGAGCCAGTAATTCCCTGTACTTCGGGATGGAGGCAGGAGAGCAAGCGACGTCTATGTCGACAGTTTGTGGCAGGAGAAGATCAGCGAAGATACGGCTTTTCCGGCCACTGTGGTGCAACTCGAATGGAGTTATGCCGATCGCCGGGTGCAACAAAGTGTTGCAGGCAAACTCAATGTCGGGGAGGCGGTCAACCCAATTCTTATGATCCAGACGGATGAGCGTACGAAGCATCTTCTGAGCAGTCTATGTGCTCTCTCCGTTTGCCTGTCCATTTGTGGATGCAGAGCCGAACTTTGTTTCATCTTGGTGTCGGATTCCTGCATGAGAGAAGTCCAGAATGTTGACATGAAACGAGTGTCGTGGTCGCTAACGATGTCTTCCGGTACGTCGTGCCTGCAAATCCAGCTGGTGTGCAAAAGGCGCGCAAGTGCGGGAGCCGTGGCGTAGTACTTGCAAAGGAGAAATCACGCGTCAACGACCGTGAGGATGTCGTCGTGCCCGAAGCGATCATGGGGAAACGGGCCGGTGACGTCCATGGTGAAAGAGAGGCCTGGTTCCCGTGGAATAGGCAACGGGTGCAACTCGCCGTAGGGATTGCGGTTGCGGGGCTTGCTTCGCCGACAAACTTCGCAAGAGTCAGAATACCGAGTGACATCGGTAATGAGGTCGGGCCACCGGAATCGTTGTCGAAGTCGTGCAATAGTCCGATCGACTCCGAAATGGTCGGCGAGTCGCGAGTTGTGGTACTCGCCGAGAAGGCGAGTCCGAAGATGACGGTCTCGTGGGACGCAGAGCAAGTCCTTGCCTCGCGAGTGGAGAAGCAAGTACCCATCGACGATGCGATAATTGCTGGTCGGCGGGTGATCCAAAGATAGTTGTGCATATAGCGTGGCGAAATCCGGATCAGACTCATAGCCCCGAATGAAGTGTCGCTGGAGTTCCTCGTCGAATGCGAAGGCATGATGTGTCATAGCGCAAAGATTGGGTCTTCACGAGAGTGCATCTGCTGCGCTATTGGAGAGGCCGGCGAGATGTTTCGGTGTGAAGTCAAATTGGTTGATGAAGTACATCCATCGTCCGATAGTGCTGACTCACTGTATCCTGCGTCTTGTAGTAGGCCAATGGGTTGTTATCAGTGACCCATGTGAACCTACGACGCCCAAGGAGGAAGTGTCACCATCGCTTGAGAGCCATCGCGAACATGAGCAGCTCTTTCTTCCTTGCATCATCAAGTGAATTGATGGGAGGCACTTTGTGGCCGAAATACTCCACGGGGTGCCAATCGTCGCCATCGTGTTGTTCCAAGACTGCCCCAATGCTATAGCCGGAAGCGTCAATTGTCACTCTCGTTGGCAAGATGGGGTCGTAGATGCTAAGGACGGGTGCCATGAGCTTGGCCGTCTTGAGTGCTTGGAATGACCGGCGCGCGTCGTCATCGAATACAAATGGCACCTTTGGCGATTGTAATCTCGTCAATGGTGCAACAATCCTTGAGTACCCGGTGATGAAGCATTGATAGTAGCCCGCGAACCCCATGAATGAGCAAACATCCGTGGTGTTGGTGGGCTCAGGCCATACGCAGATGGCCTCGATCTTGTCGGCAAGCGGACGGATGCCTTGCGGCATCACATAGTGGCCCAAGTACTCGAGCTATTGCCGCACGAATTCGCATTTGTCGCGGTTGGCTTTGTACTTCGCCTGTCGCAGCCGGTCCAAAACGGTGCGCAGGTGATCCACATGCTCGTCCAGACTCCGGTTGTACACCAAGATATCGTCGAGGTAGATGAGTACAAATTTGTCCATCATGTGTCGGAACTCTGTCGTCATAGCCGCTTGGAACGTGGCCGGGGCATTCGTAAGGCCAAATGCCATAACCAGCCATTTGAAATGCCCATATCGCGTCTTGAACGCGGTCTTGTAGCGGTCTTCCTGTCGGATCTCAAGTTGGTGATATCCTGATTTGAGGTCAAGCTTGGAGAAGAACTTAGCGCCACCCAGCCGTTCGAGAAGGTCGTCGATGCGCGGGAGAGGGCCGACGTTCTTTACGGTTTGCGCGTTGAGCTTGCGATGGTCGATGCACAACCGCAAGTCCTTGTTCTTCTTCCGGACGAAGAGAACGGGAGCATTGTATGGCGAAGAGCTAGGCCGAATCCAGCCTTTCTCAAGAAGGTCGTTGAGTTGTGCCCGCTCATGAGGTAGATGCAACCACGCAGAGGTACGACCCCAACCTCGAGGATGATCTCGTGGCGGATGGGCCGATCCGGTACTACTCCGTGCGGGGCTTCGAACACGTCGCCGTAGGCGTCGAGAAGCTCGGTGATGCGTGGGTCCGTTGATGCGTCCGTTGATGGGATGTCATGGGGAGGGAGGGCGTGGAGAAAACACATCCCCATCTCCTCGATGTCGTCCCTGGTGATGGAAGCTCGAATGCTTGCGGCGGACACCATGTGGCAGCTGATCGAAGGGTGAGGTGGAGGCACCGTGCATGGGACTAGTGCTCCCTTCCGATCACGAACGTGAACGGTGCAGCGGTTGAAGTTCACCGGGTGATCCTCGGTTCGCAGCCATGTCATGACCAAAATCATGTCAAACTGGGTGTCCAAAATGTCGAAGGACACGACCTCGCTTGCATGTGGGGCGAAGTACATGGGGACGGAATCAATGCACCGGTCGATTGAGTTGTGCGTGTGACCGTCCACCAACGTGACTTGCGTGGGCTGCGACTTCCTCCGAACGCGTGGCCCAAGGCCAGCGAGTACCATAAAGTCTTGGCTGATATAGTTGCGAGTAGCTCCACAATCGATCAAAGCACTGCAGGTCGCCTCTCCGATCTGAATGCGTATATACAACAATGGTGCGTCGATGTCGTCATACCGTTGTGTCTTGAACTCATGATCGATCTTCGCAACGTAGTATTGAAAGTTAACAACCTCTATTCAGGCGACCAACATATCTGGTACTGCAATGTGCAAGTAATCCCGCAATTGTGCCATGAGCACGTTGCAATGCGCTTTCGACAATCGACCGGTCAGGGGAAGGGGCATCCATTTGAAGTCCGCGAACGTCAACGGGTCGAGTTTGTCAAGTCTTGACCATGACGTTGAATCCCCGACGATAGTTGGCGGCGAAGCTGCCGAATCGGTTGCCGATGGTGGTGAAATCGTGCATGTGGTGGATTGTTGCACATGGAGTGGCTGGTCCAACGGTGGGACCAAGTGGACAGCGTAATCCTCGTAAGTGAACTGAGGACTTGCGACATCCGCATTCTCCCCAGATGTGTAGGAGGTCGCTAGCAAGGCGGCCGAATAGCGCCAGGCCCCTTCACACCTTGTGATGAGGATGATGTATGTTGGGTCTGCATTGCGACGTTGATTGGGCTAGTCATTGGTATTCTAGCATTCCGCTGCGCTGTTCTTGTACTACGTAAGAGAGGTCAGTCCCGGTCAGGTCAAGGCTTATATCTAAGTCTTCCACTGTGCTAAAAGGTGCCATTTTGTATGTTTAGGATGTACATTGCTTGTTGAGATTCCACTAACACCGCGTTGTCCATTCAGTCCTTTTTATCACATTGCGGATCCTTGGCTATACATACATTGCCCAACTGGGCATGTAACAGTTGGTATCGGAACACCGCACGTGAATCAGGACAACCTGATCTGACACGTGTGCGGGGACTAAGTAGTTAATTATGTTTGCTTGATTGATTGATTAGAGCATACTAATTAGCCCCCAAAATTGCGATTTTGACCTAGCTGCCGAAAATTGATTTTTTTTTTTTTCTTGGATTTTGTTTTCCCGCTATTTCTGTTGTGGAAAATCGCAACAGCGCAACACTTGAAATTTCCGTTTTCGTTCTTATGAAAATTTGAAATTTCGTTGTTGGAAATCAGGAATTTTTTTTCCAAAAATTCCGATTTCCTTTTGCAATTTCCCGTCATTTGGAAATCCAGAATTTTTTTTTTTCTTTCGAAATTCGTTTTTCGAGATTTGAAAACGGTACAGGAAATCCCTCTTGCAGTTACCATTTTCCAAACTGCGCGTACTCTCATCTGAGTAATTCTGAATATTTTTGTATTTTATTTTCAAAATTCTTTTACGGATAATCATTTGCAGTCTGAAAGTTCGAAAAATTTTCCTCATTGGTAATTTCGCACTTCAGGGGGAATTGGGAGGCCTACTGAACTTGCAAACGAGTATTTTTTTTCTCTCGAATTTTTTGCAAAGTTCAAACGTTTATTAGTGGCTCCTTATATGGACGATTTATCCCACCCACCCCTCCCCACCTATGTTGTTGCCCCCTCTGGTCTTCTGTATCTGTCTCCGGGTACCCCCTGTGGCGGCATTGGTGAGTTGCCACGTCAGCAGACCACGTCAGCAGGCCACGTCAGCAGGACACGTCAGCCGACAGCAGCGCCACGTCAGCAGCCGAGCAATGCCACGTCAGCAGCAGGGAGTGCCACGTCAGCAGTCCTCCGGCCTGGTCGATATTCACGTGCTTACAAACAGCTGGCATGGATCAGAAGTCCGGGGAAACGGTCGAGGCCTATGAGGCCCGGATGCTGGCTTTGATTACCGAAGCCAATAAACGGGCGGATGAGGTAGCAGCAACAGAGAAAAAGAAGGCAAAGGACGCGGAGAAGGCACGTCTGTTGGCAATCGAACAGCTGCGCCAGCAAGACGAGGCAGCAGCAAGGGCTGCCGATGAAGAACGAAATCAACAACGCGAGAAGATATTCAACGGAGAGCGAGCCTTGCTCACAATGGCAGCGGACTGTCGGGCCGAGGCCGATAATGGTAAGATGGAAGAGAGTGAAAGCAAGATCGCTCTACTCCTCTCCCATTTTACGGATCTCCTGGCAACGTGCATTGCACAACAGGAGGACATCCACAACCTCGACGACTCGGTTCAGACGCACAACCAGGCGTTTGATCAAGTCAACAGCCGCCTCCAGCAGCTGGAGCAACGACCCGTCGCCGCCCACGATGCCAGCTCCTCCAACACCTCCGATTGCCTCAATGCATTGGAGATCGACGTCGGAACCCTCAAGGACGACGCGCAGCTACAGCAAACCGCCACGCAACAACTGGAGCAGTGGATCTGTGCTGCCGCCGCCACACCGAGTTCGGCACCGCGCGACACGACTCCAAAGTTCGATGGTCAGGAGATCTTCTGCGATTCGACGAAGACGGACTCGATTCCGTTGTTCCGCAAGTTCGAGCTCAAGTTGCAGCTACACCACGTCAGCGAGGACAAGCATCACGCGTACTTATACTCCCGGTCGGGGGCGCGTGCCAAGCATGGTGGAACAATCTCTTGTCCAAGTACGGGGTGGTAGCTGCCGACTTGTACACCAAGATCAGCTGGGATGATCTAAAGGCGGCGTGGCATAAGCGGTTCCAAGTAGAGCCGTCGGAAATCAAGGCAATGGACAAATTGATGACCTTCGAACAAGGCATGCTACCAAGTGTTGACTGGATTGCCGAGTACCAACGCTTCACATCCATCCCATACATTCAGATGGGCTTCAAGGCCGTCAAGCACTACTTCATCTCGAGGTCGTGTCCGACATTGGGCAACGCCTTGACTCACGTCGAGGAGACCCTGACGACAACGACGGAGCTCTTCGACAAGGCCGCGCAAATCATTTTCACGAACAAGGAGGCCAAGAACCTCAATCGTTTGTCTGCGACAGGCTCGAGGAAAGATCAGCATCGACCGAAAGTGGCCGTGGCCGCGGCGACAACGCCAACCGACCCTTCTAGCGAGGCCATGTCTACCAATGAAGGGGACAGACTCGCAGCCGCCCGAGATGGTGACCGCCCTGGCTAAGGCCGAGGACGCGGCAAGATGAAGACAAACACCACATCTATCCCTGGGCTCGACGCAGCAGCTCCCGCCCCATGGTCCCACTACGGTCTCTCCGAGCAAGCATACAAGCAATGCACGAGATTCCGCTATTGTCTGTGGTGTAACAGCGATCTCCACGACACAGTGGGCTGCCCGTCGAAAGGCAAAGGCAAATTGGGAAACTGAGCACCGTCGGGAGTGAATCGACGACACTCTCGACGCCTTCGGAACCGGTCGCTTTGCGGGTGACCGCCCTTCGTTCCAAGGCACATGCGGAAGTCGATAGTCCTCCTCTTCTTATGAGGACTATGCTGCCCGACGGGTTCCTACCGTGGGTACTCATGCTCAAGGACAAGATGTGTGTGCGGCATCTTTTCCGTCCGGCAGCGGCGACTAATCGTGTTCAAGTGGTTCTTCACGGGATTCGGTGAGAGAGTTCAACATAGAGGTCTTGGACCCGCTCACGTCATGGGATTTCGCATGGCTTCCTCTCCCGACCACGGGCCGCTTGCCGGAATGGCAATGCGCAACATTACGCGCTCATCTCCACATGTATTTATCCTTCTATGCACCACCAACTTCGTCGACGGATGACGAAGCTGCGGTGGGGGATATCCTTACGTATGTTACCAAGGTGGCCTGCGAGTTTCGCAAGCAGCGGTACGATGACAACAACGCACCGCTCCTCTATGTGCGCATCCAAGTTGGGCAAGCATCCTGCAACACTTTGATGGATAGCGGAGCGAGTCGCAATTTCATGAGCCAAGCCTTTATGCAAAGGGCTGGCCTTGGCGCACAAGTTCGGAAAGGCAAACCTGACCGCGATCAAGTTGGCGGACGGAAGGACGCAACAACTTATCGACCATTACATCGAGGCCGTACCAGTGTATTTCACACCCCATGCATGCGAACCAGTGACGTTCGACATTTTGGACACAGACTTCGATATCATTTTGGGAATGCCTTGGCTTGCAAGTGCGGATCACACTGTCAACTTCCACCGGCGGACTCTTACCGTTCGGGACGCCTTCGGCGCCAAAGTGCCGTGCACTATTCCTCTTCCGCACACTTCGATCCGGTGCCAAGTGGTGACGGCCAAGTCGTTCCGGGCTACTTGCGAGTACGAGCAGCCCGACGAGATAGGCCTATGTTTCCTACGGACCGTCGCGGTAGCCGACTCTTCACCCACGGACTTGTCTTCGGACCCCCGTGTGGTGCGGTTGCTTGACGAGTTCACCGACATCTTCGAGTCACCTAACGGTGTGGTGCCGGATCGGCCGATCTCTCACGAGATCATTCTTGAGGACGGTGTCGTGCCGCCGGAAGGTTGCATTTACCACATCAGCGAGGAGGAGCGTACGGTCCTCCGCGCGCAACTAGATGACTTGTTGGACAAGGGTTGGATCCGCCCTAGTAGCTCCCCATATGGAGCGCCAGTTCTCTTCGTACGGAAGAAGAACAAGGATCTACAATTGTGCATCGACTGCGGCAAGCCAACGCGCAAACCGTCAAGAATGCGGGGCCTCTTCCTCATATTGACGATCTCCTTGAGCGTTTGGGTGGCGCGAAGTACTTTTCTAAAGTTGGATTTGAAGTCGGGATATCATCAGATTTCGATCCGGCCGAACGATCGCTATAAATCCGCGTTCAAGACGCGGCACACCGAAGGGCATCAGTCCGTTGTCGGACAAGATTCAAGGCAAGCCGGTATCTTCGGCTCCACGCCACACCCGCGTCCAGGTTCCGCCTTCAGATCGTCAACTTTTCCTCGACCCGACTTGACTTCGTAAGGAGGGGGGGGTGTTACATGTTGCGCCTGAAACGAGGGCCATTTTCAGGCCCTGTGTTGTTTTCAGCCTAAAAGCCTGAAAACAAGGGCCTACAGGCCGTGTGTCGTTTTCAGGCCCTGTGTCATTTCACCCTAAAACAGGGCCCTACAGGCCCTGAGTCTTTTCAGCCTGAAACGGAGAGCCATTTTCAGGCCCTCATAAGATCGACCTGCCCTGAAACTTAGGCACCAGACCAGGGTTTTAGCACAGGCCATTT